AAATTCGTAATAGTACATGAAATTTAATCGTCGATATCTCTTGATCTAGTGATTAAATTTTGATGATTTTAGTATCAACTAAATTCGTATAAATCTCAATCAAATTCGTAATAGTACATGAAATTTAATCGTCGATATCTCTTGATCTAGTGATTAAATTTTGATGATTTTAGTATCATTCGAATCATCTTATCAAGACGATTCAAATGGCAATCACTAGTTCAAGAGATATCGACGATAAATCAAAATTAATTTCATGTATTATTATACGAATTTGGTTGACATATCCTAGTACCCTCTACAATTAAGACCCGCCATCATGCAGACCTAATCCTTAATTAATACTTGGGGGTATAATTATATTAACTTATTACTTTTCATATGTATATCACCCAAATATAATACTCGTTTCCATACGAGATTCTTAAAAGTAAGTGAATTCATGAATAATGAATGCCCCTGGTATTTTATACATGGTAAATAGTAATTTCTAATACTGTAATAGGAATTGATAAACACAATTTTTATATTCAGTGAAAAAAAAGTTCATCTTCATGATATTTGAAAATTTATTGTAAAGGAATGTGTCTACCACCAAAAATTAGATTTGATAAAACAATAAGTTATTAGACAGCAAACTAATACTACTATAAACTATATGCCGAAATGATATCACATTATGATTTATTATATTAAAAGGAGAAATTCAAATTAACCTATGGTATTTCGAACTATGCGTTGAACGCGTTTTTTGAACGCGGGATAATTTTCCCTCCATTCTTTCTATAGAAATAATAAAAATTAATATAGAGAAAAATAAATAAATTAAATAAATTTGGAATAAAATTCTTACAGCAGCTTCAATGTTTGCAGGCGACTCATCATTAGGACTCGAAAGCATTGAAATGACACTCAATAAAATCGTTTCAACAGTATGTATAGGCCTCCATCTTTCACCAGCATCTTCATAACCATACTTATCTTCACCTGGAGGGTGCTAAAGAAAAACGAAATAATAAACGATTAAAGTACATTCAAATACAATTAATCAACAATAACATTTAGTAAGTCAGCTAAGATCATACCAAAATGGAAATGCACACTTCACCATCAGGATATACTAATAAAAGAAGATCAAATAATGCGAGATTAAAAAAAAAAAAATTTTCGATATTTTGTAACGATACACGTCGTATCACGTACCATTTGGATGCCACATGTCAGAAACAAATTTCAGTTTTGGAGGCATCAAGGGATATTCCTAAATAAGGCAATATTATATCATTTATACATATGCGAAAAACCGAGATTTTTATGCAAAAAGAACGTTAACCGTAAAACAACATGCCTTTGGAAAAGTCATCTTTGCTTTAAAGAAACCACCTTCACTGTCGATATTAATAATATTAATAATTATACTAATTCATAATTTAATAAACATAAAGATTTATAAAGGATGACTCACAATAAAGTATCAGGTGGACCAATGATTATGATCTCCCACTTTTGAATAAAGAATATTAAAATTAGGTCTTCTATTTATAATATTATAAATAATTGAAGCCATAACTCATACCTTTATAGAGGAGAAACGCAAGTTAATTTTTCAGATCAAAAGCTTTAAAATAAGTTAGTGGATAGTTTTTTACCTCATAGATATTATCATTATCAGCAAGACCCGCGGAAAAGCCTTCAACAGGGTGCTTTAATAATTCTAAATATAAAGAATTTACAAATAAAATATTAAAACTAGAAATTTCAAGTAAAGTTTGGAACACATTTGACAATACCGTTGAGTTGCTTTTGAAGAAGAAGAGCTGATTGTGAAGTAGCCATTGCTGTCAAGTTTAAAGCTACACAACAAAAGAACTATTTGACTCAGGTCGCGACACAAATCTGTATTTGTGATTGGCGGATAATTAATATTCGATTATATAAATACAGAAATACTGAGTACTAAAACCCGTGACCAAAAAGTTGAAGTACTGTATAACTTCTCTAATACTACTGCACGATAAAAATTTTTTTTCGAATACAAGAAAAAAAAAAAATACTAAATATTAAATAGTTTTTTTTTGCATTATTGTAATTAGATTTTTGAAATGTTGAATAAATATTACGAATAAATTTTTTTTTTTTTCTTACATTTCTCCTACATACCTGATACGTACGTACTGTACGCACTTACGAACACTCGCATATTTTTACTTATTATTTTTTTTCAATGTTAACTCAAACCAACATAATAAAATTCGCCTCGGGAAAATGAATTTTATTGGCTATTGTAACAGCCCAACATCCAGGTAGAGCTGTTACCCAGGTTGAAAAATGGCGACCCGAATCAAACGTTTTCGGCAATAAAAAACAAAAAAAATAAATAAATAGATTTTAACTAAGGAACCTCTAGCTTGTTCGTCTATAGTATCCGTTTTAAAAATGCCCGAAATATATAATTACTATTTTAATTTGAAATATCCAAAAATAGTGATATTGATATACATTATCTTTGTCATTTGCGCATTGTGCAATCGCTCATTACCGAAGTCATATCGAATCGGCCAAACGATCATTCGGTCAGATGTCCCAAAATTAATGAAAACAGCTGTAATAACTTGTTTCGATTCGGTCATGGATAATTTTTCAATTGTCCCAAATCGCTTTATGATCTTTATTTGATTAAGACTTTGATCGGTCAAATGACAAAACTAACTTTTATAAATTCTGGAACAAACGAATTCCTTGGTCTCGTCTAAAATTATAAATTTTTTTAGTTTGTCGAATTTATGAGAATTATAACCTCAATTTATCGTTATTTGTCTATCTATTCCAACTATACTGATCCGATTGCATCTCACAAATGAGCGAGTTTCGTTTTGTTGTGCTCTTATTCTATATATATTAAAGAGGCTGTTTCTTAACGCAGCCTTGTCTACATACTAACATAAATTTTTACTTTAGTATTTTATACAGCAAATTGATTAGTAATCTATATTGATATGGTCAAATGATAATTTGTTGAGATCGAGATGCCGAAAGTTTGTTTGTCTACCACTTTTGGTTAGTGTTAGGAGGGTAGGGTTAATTTTAGGATCGTAATTGTCCGGAGCGAAGTGGAGGATTTGTACCCCAGACAGGGAAGGACTTGGAAATTTTTCGAAATCTTTTTTGAAACAAAAATTTTGATGATTTATACAAGAATTTTTCAATCAATTTCAATCAATTTGCAGAACTTCCAAAAAACATTCAATCGAAAAATTTTGATATCGAAATATTTCCGGGTCCCTGACCCCAGATTGGAATTGTCCTGCTTAACGGTCCCAGATGAATATTTTGTAAATTTTTAATCCTAGCATTAACGTTAACACTAACGCTAACTCTTTGCAAAATTCTCATCGGGACGAGATTCTATCTGGGGTACTACTACATATTGTACATTTTCATTGTCCAAAGTTTTTTGAGTGAAGTTTTTTTGATACTATCTAATCAAATTCGATGAAGTTTTTTTTTTATTTTAAATCTATATATTTGTAGAATTAAAATAAAAAAAAATTTTATTAGATTTGGATAGGTGGTTATTGAGAAAACTTCACTCAAAAATCTTTGGACAATATCGGTGATAGATCTTTATCACATGATTGGTGCTGCTACTATAAAATGCAGAAATGTGATCAAAAAAAAAAAATTTTTTTAGATAATAATTTCAGTACTAAAAAAAAAAAATGCCAAAACCAAAACGTACTTCTAAAAATTTTGATACTATAGAGTCGCCAGCAAAAAAAAAGGCTACAGATAAAGAGAGTACATCAGATACAGGCCATAATCTTATTTCTCAAACGCAAGAAATTTCAATAATTAAAGAACCTATTAAAGATTTTCTTATCGTCGTGGGTAGTTATGAAAGAATATTATACGGCATTAATGGATGTTGGGTTAAATCGGACCAGAATGATTTCGATAAAGTACATATTTTCAATATATTTGACACATGTTTTTTTTATTCAGTTATAATTTTCAAATATATAATATAAATGCTTAAATAAAATAATATTAAATTAAATAAAGTGTAAACCTTCATTACGTTTTGATCCAACCTTTATATTTCCTGCCCATATTGGCTGCATTAAAGCTGTAGCCGTAGGTTCCAGGTATTTAGCTTCGGGTAGTACTGATGAAGTTATCAAGTGAGTAAATTTTTAAATGTTATTTCGTTAATGATTATATTTTTAATCGGTGGATTTATTTTAGGTTGTATGATATAAAAAAACGTAAAGAACTTGGTTCTTTATTACAACATGAAGGTTCTATAACCACTATTCAATTTTATAAT